CCTGCAGTGTATACATAATAGATAAATAAATCTTGAAAAAAAAGGAAAGAAAATGTTTGAAATTCTTAAAGATGAAATGAGAAATTACCTTAAAGAAACAGAGGAAAAAACAAAAAAATTAGAAGATATGAGCAAATCACTTAAAGAAAACCAAGAAAAAGAACTCAAATATATAGAAAAAATAAAGAAAACACAAGTCGAAGGAATTATAGAAACAGAAATCGTGAGAAAAAAGATCAGGAACCACAAATGCAAGCATGAACATCAGAATACAAAAAATGAAAGAGAGAATCTCAAGTGCTGAAAATACAATAGAGGGAATAGACTCATCAGTTAAAGAAAACATTAAATCTAATAAAAGCTTAACCGAAAATATCCATAAAATATGGGACACCATAAAAAGGCCAAATCTTAGAATAATAGGTATAGAAGAACTTCAACTCAAAGACACAGAAAATTTAACAAAATCATAGAAGAAAACTTTCCCTATCTAAAGAAGGATCCTATAAAGATACAAGAAGCTTACAGAATACCAAACAGATTGGATCAAAAAAAAAAAAAGTCCTCTCGCCACATAATAATCAAAACACTAAACAGAATAAAGAAAACTACAGAGTAAAGAAAGAATATTAAGAGCTGCAAAGGAAAGAGGCCAAGTAACATACAAAGGTAGACCTATCAGAATTACACCTGACTTCTCAGTGGAGACAATGAAAACCAGAAGGTCATGGTCAAGCATTATGCAGACATTATACCCAGACTACTATACCCAGCAAAACTGTCGATCACCATAGAAGGACAAAACAAGGTATTCCATGTCAAATCTAGATTTTACCAATACCTAGCCACAAACCCAGCCCTACACAAGATACTAGAATGAAAACTCCAACCCAAGGAAGATGGCTATACCAACAAAAACACAGATAATTGATAATCTCATTACAGCGAATCCCGAAGAAAAAATGTACAAATTACATCACCAATGATGAAAACTAAATTAACAGGAGATAGCAACCACTGGTCATTAATATCCCTTAATGTAAATGGACTCAACTCACCTATAAAAAGGCACAAGCTAACAGATTGGATACGAAAACAAAATCCATCCTTGTTCTGCATACAAGAAACACATCTCAACCTCAAAGACAAACATCGTCTCAGAGTAAAAGATTGGGAAAAAATATACCAATCAAATGGACCTAAGAAACAAGCAGGTGTAGCTATCCTAATATCTAACAAAATAGACTTCAAGCTAAAATCAGTCAAAAGAGACAAAGAAGGACATTTCATATTAGTCACAGGAAAAATCCATCGAGAGGAAATTTCAATGCTGAACATCTATGCCCCAAAATACAGGGGCACCCTCATATGTCAAAGAAACATTTCTAATGCTTAAATCATATATTAAACCCCACACACTAATAGTGGGAGACTTCAACACTCCCCTCTCACCACTGGACAGGTCAATCAGACAAAAAATGAACAAAGAAAATAGAGAATTAACAGATGTTATGACTCAAGTGGACTTAACAGACATCTATAGAATATTCCATCCAAACAGAAAAGAATATACCTTCTTCTCAGCACCTCATGGAACCTTCTAAAAAACTGATAACATACTAGGTAACAAAGCACACCTCAACAAATAAAAAAATTTGAATAACCCAATGTACCTTATCAGATCGCCATGCTTTAAAACTAGAAGTCAACAGCAATCCTAATTCCAGAAAATCCACAAACACATGGAAATTAAACAATGCTCACCTGAATCATCAATGGGTCAAGGAAGAAATAAAGGGGGAAATTAAAAACTTCCTAAAATTCAATGAAAATGACCACACAACATACCCAAATTTATGGGACATAATGAAAGCAGTGTGAGGAGGCAAGTTCATAGCACTAAATGCCTACATAAAGAGGCTGGAAAAAAATCCCACACTAGCGAATTAACAGAACATTTGAAAACTTTAGAACAAAAAGAAGCAAACTCACCTAAGAGAACTAGACGGCAGGAAATAATCAAATTGAGAGCTGAAATCAACAAAATAGAAACAAAGAAAACAATACAAAAATCAATGAGACAAAGAGTTGGTTCTTTGAGAAAAATCAACAAAATAGACAAACCTTTATCCAAACTAACCAAAAGACAGAGAGAGAATATCCAAATTAACAAAATCAGAAATGAAAAGGGGGACATAACAACAGACAGGGAGGAAATACAGAGGATCATCAGATCGTATTTGGAAAACCTGTACTCCACAAAATTGGAAAACTTAAAGAAAATGGACAACTTTCTGGATAAATATCACTTACCAAAATTAAACCAAGACCAGATAAGCAAATTAAACAGACCTATAACTGCTGAAGAAATAGAAACAGTCATCAAAAGTCTCCTAACCAAAAAAAGCCCAGGACCAGATGGTTTCAGCTCAGAATTCTACAAGACTTTCAAAGAAGAACTAATACTAATACTCCTCAAATTATTCCACACAATAGAAACAGAGGGAACACTGCCAAACTCTTTTTATGAGGCAATAATTAGCCTGATACCCAAACCACAGAAAGACAATACTAAGAAAGAGAATTACAGACCAGTCTCACTCATAAACATTGATGCAAAAATACCAAATAAAATACTAGTAAATCGAATCCAAGAACACATCAGAACCATCATCCACCATGATCAAGTCAGCTTCATCCCACAGATGAAGGGATGGCTCAACATATGAAAATCTGTCAACGCAATCCACCATATAAACAAGCTGAAAAATAAAAACCATATGATCATCTCATTAGATGCCAAAAAAGCATTTGACAAAATACAACATCCCTTCATGATAAAGGTCTTGGAGAGAGCAGGGATACAAGGACATACCTAAACATAATTAAGGCAATATACAGCAAGCCAACAGCCAACATCAAACTAAATGGAGAGAAACTCCCAGCGATTCCACTGAAATCAAGAACAAGACAAGGTTGACCACTCTCTCCAATCTATTTGATACAGTTCTTGAGGTCCTAGCCAGAGCAATAAGACACCAAAGCGAGATCAAGGGAATACAAATTGGAAAAAAAGAAGTCAAACTCTCACTATTTGCTGATGATATGATAGTTTACATAAGGATCCCAAAAATTCTACCAAGGAACTTCTACAACTCAAACACTTTCAGCAATGTAGCAGGATACAAGAGTAACTCAAAAAAATCAGTAGCCCTCCTGTATACAGATGATAAAAGAGCTGGAGAAGAAATGAGAGAATCAACACCCTTCACAATAGCCACAAATAGGATAAAATATCTCAGAGTAACTCTAATCAAACAAGTGGAAGACTTGTATGACAAGAACTTTAAATCTTTGAAGAAAGAAATTAGATACCACAAAGTGGAAAGACCTCCTATGCTCTTGGGTAGGCAGAATTAATATAGTAAAAATGGTAATCTTACCAAAAGCAATCCACAGGTTCAACACAATGCCCATCAAAATCCCAACAAAATTCTTCAAAGACCTCAAAAGAACGGCACTCAACTTCATTTGGAAAAGCAAAAAACCCAGGATAGCCAAAACAATCCTGTACAATAAAAGAACTTCTGGAGGCATCACAATCCCTGACATCAAACTCTACTACAGAGCTACAGTACTGAAAACAGCCTGGTACTGGAATAAGAATAGACAGGAGGACCAATAGAACTGAATAGAGACCCGGATATCAATCCACACATCTTCCAACACCTGATCTTTGATAAAGAAGCAAAAAATGATAAATAGAAAAAAGAAAGCATATTTAACAAGTGGTGCAGGCATAACTGGATATCAACATGTAGAAAAATGAAAAGAGACCCATATCTATCTCCATGCACAAAACTCAAGTCCAAATGGATCAAAGACCTCAACATAAAGCCAGCCACACTGAACCTCATAGAAGAGAAAATGGGAAGTACACTTGAATGCATTGGCACAGGGAACCACTTCCTAAATCGAATCCCCGCAGCACAGACACTGAAACAATTAATAAATGGGACCTCCTGAAACTGAAAAGCTTCTGTAAAGCAAAGGACACGGTCAACAAGACAAAAGGACAGCCTACAAAATGGAAAAAGATCTTCACTAACCCCACATCAGACAGATGTCTGATCTCCAAAATATACAGAGAACTCAAGAAATTGGACACCAAAAGAACACATAATCCAATAAAAAAAAATGGAGTACAGACCTAAACAGAGAACTCTCAACAGAGGAATCTAAAATGGATGAAAGACACTTAAAGAAATGTTCAACATCCTTAGTCATCAGAGAAATGCAAATCAAAACAACTCTGAGATTCCACCTTACACCTGTAAGAATGGCCAAGATCAAAAACACTGATGACAACTTATGCTGGAGAGGTTGTGGGAAAAAGGGAACACTTCTGCACTACTGGTGGGAATACAAGACCCAGTAATATCACTGTTGGGTATATATCCAAAGGATGCTCAATCGTGCCACAAGGACATGTGCTCAACTATTTTCACAGAAGCTTTGTTTGTCAGCCAGAACCTGGAAATAACCTAAATGCCCCTCGATAGAAGAATGGATAAAGAAAATGTGGTACATTTACACAATGGAGTACTACACAGCAGAAAAAAAATGACAGCTTGAATTTTGCAGGAAAATGGATGGAGCTAGAAAACCTTATTTTGAGTGTGGTGACCCAGACACAGAAAGACAATTTTCACATGTACTCACTCATGGGTGTTTTTTAAACATAAAGCAAAGAAAGCCAGCCTACAAACCACAATCCCAGAGAACTTAGACAACAATGAAGACACTAAGAGAGACTTACATACATGGGAAGCAGAAAGTAGAAAAAGACAAGCTCTCCTGAGTAAATTGGGAGCATGGGGACCTTGGGAGAGGATTGTAGGGAGGAAGGGAGAGGAAGGGAGGGCAGTAGAGAAAAATGCAGAGCTCAATAAATATCAATAAAGGCCTCCGCCGTCGTCGCCCCTCGAGCCAGCGGAGCCATGTCTTTGCCTCCAGAAGGGAAGCTGGAGACCAAAGCCGGACACCCTCCCGCCGTGAAAGCCGGCGGAATGCGGATTGTGCAGAAACACCCACACACGGGAGACGGGAAGGAGGAAAAAGACAAAGACGAGCAAGAATGGGAAAGCACCAGCCCGCCTAAACCAACAGTGTACATCTTCGGTGTTATTGCCCGGGGTGACAAAGACTTTCCCCTGGCGGCTGCACAAGTGGCCCACCAGAAGCCGCATGCCTCCATGGACAAACATGTTTCTCCAAGAACACAGCATATCCAACAACCTCACAAGTGACCTGCACCCAGGCCCCTGCACCCTCTGCAGCCACAGCACCCTGGCCCGCCCCCTACGATGTTCCCCTGACCAAAGGAACTTGCACTTTCCAGGCAGTTTACTAAGTTCAGAAGCCTAAGGCAAAGCAAAGTGAACCCTCATTGTCTCAGATCCCCATATTTAAAACTAGAGAGGCTCCAACTGCAAAAGTTTTCCTTGAGTCCGAGTTGTGTGTCACTGAAGGGTCACCATACCCCACCCCCAAGAAGTGCCACTGGCAGAACATGACGAGTCCTGAGGAAGTCCTTCATACTGGCAATCACTTAAAGTTCTTACTCTTGGTCCTAAGAGGAAGAAGCCACCTTGGGAGATTTGATAAAGTTAGAAAAACAAAACACTATGATATGGATTTTATAAATTGTGCTTACTTCCTGCCCTAGGATACCCTGTACTGGCCCCAGTTCATGGCTGCAGAATTCCTGCTTTTCTGAAAAGTTAAAGGGTTCCCTTAGCCATACATAGAACCTTCTAGAGTGCTGCTCACAAAGTACTCCTGGCTGTCCCGATGCTCTGTGACCTGCAGCATCTGCACCACCATTCTGGAACTATGCACCAGGCCTGTGCCATTTCACTGAAGGAGGGGCGGGCTCCTTGAATCTTATAATCAATTTGGTATCCCAGGAGTAGGCTTAACAAGGAGCTGGACATACACCTCGAGACCCTGTTTGGTCAGTCTCTTCGTTCTTAATTAATGAAGGCCTCTTCACTACCAAGAACCAAGGCTCACACTACAGACCCAGGCTTGGGTGCAACACTACCATGGAACCTACAGCCTTGCTCTGTCATATGGGACCAAACATAGGCAAGGACCTTAGAGCAGGTAACACCAGGTCCCCTGTGCAGACCTTCTCACCTTCTGGTACCCAACTCCTGAAACATCCATAATCCCTTTTAGTTCAGCAACCTGAGGGGCCGCCTGTGTTCCGTGTACTCTGAGCTGTCCTTGGTGTGCCTCTGTGGGCTCTAGGTCGCTGAATGTGACATGTTTCCCTAAATAAATTTAATAATCTTAAAAAAAATCAATAAAAAATTTAACACCTTGAATTGTAGTATGTTCAAGACAGAAAGCTCAATAAATAAAAAAGAAGAGTACACACAAACGTCCAATCTTGAACCCTGGACCGTTTACCACAGAATGTAATTCTGAGTCATATGGTGGCATGTGCCTATAATTAGAGTACTGGGAAGGCTAAGGCAGGGGAAGATCATGAGTTCAAGCTAAGCAGCTAAAAAAAAAAATTTAAAAACTGTGATTCTGAGCTGGGTTTTTTAAGAAGCCATCAGAATGTCTTGGCAAAGTGAGAGTTAAGATAACTTGGATGGAAACAAGAACACAAGAAAAAGATAGTAAAAGCAAGGTGAGTTCCACTTGTCTGACAGAGATGAGGTTATCTGTGACTGGGTAGCAGAGTTAGTCTCAAGTCCTGCCAAGCAATACCGGATGCCCACGTCTGAGGGTCATCATCACCTATCAGTGGGGAACAGAGCGACAGTAACAACAGGAATCACAGGGCGGTAAGACAGCAGCGCTTTGGTCGGCAGAACTGACTAGAAGCAGCAACAGAAGGTTCAGGAGATGAAAACAACTCAGAGTTTCTAAAGTCACCTACACTGGGGGCGCTTAAGAGTAGAGAGGTGGAGAAGGTCTCACACACTTTAGTGACTGCCCCCACCTCTGCTTACAGTGCAGGAAAGGGCTCCTAGAAGAGGAAAGGAGACATGGGGGACACTGACGACAAAGGGAAGAAGCATCTCTCAGAATCACTGCCTCTCTCAGGCTCTGCCCTCTTTCTCTCCAGTCCACAAAACAGCAATGAGAAAAAACAACACAAAAACCCACTCCCACACAAGACAAAGCAATCATCCCCAACCTATAACCCATAACAGGGAGAGTCACACTTGTAACTAAAAAGAATCTCTGTTGACTGCTATGCCTCTCCTCTTGTCCTGAATAACCACCATCAAAGGAAGAACTACAAAAGCAATAAACATCACCAGAAAGTCCAGCATAACATAATCTTTATGTCTGAGTCAGTCTAAGAGCAGACAGCTTTTGTCCACAGTTCCTACAACAAAGTAACAATCAGAATTTTCTGATTTATTGTGAGCATTATATGCTGTGGCCTGTTCCCACACTACCTTGAGGCCTTCCCAGGACAGGTTAAACAGGGCTTAACATGAACCGAATCTGTCAACTAAGTTGAAGGCAGACATGTAAGTTCTAATGAGCAGTGGTGGAAAAAAAACAAAAATCACAAACCACACACCATGCTGCTCCACTCAGCTCCAAATAATGGCGGCTGACTCTGGAGAATGGCTGCAACACAGCCACAGCAGCAGAACTTAACACAGCCCAGAGATAAAGGTGAGAGGGAGCATCAGGAATCACAGGAAGATGGTTTATGTCAACAAATTCCAAAACCCTTTGCAATAAAAGAGGCTGCAGAAACTGCACTCAGAACAAACAGCAGAATTCCAATATTCTTCAAAAAATAAATAAAGAGAAAATCTTTTACAGGAACTTTGCAACTTGATAACAAAAGGCTTACAAACATAATACCTCTTGGCAATAATATTTTTGTTTGGCTTGGCTTTCTGGAACATAGTCTTACTAGCAAGATGGTCTGACAACCCTCCTGCCTTCCCAATGTTGGAACTACAGCTGTGTATTACTATACCTAGGGAGCAACAGTACTGATATAAAATGCAATCACAGAGAACATAGTTTTGATTTTTTAAAAACAAATCTAGAATCTTTTATTATTTTTTAAATAAATAGATAAATAGATAAGTAAAAGGTACACTTTCGCTTGGTTTTGTTATCAGATTTGAGGTGTTTTCTTGTAGGAATTCTTTTTTTACCTTTCTTTTCTTTCTCTTTTTTTAAATACAAATAAAACATGAAAAAGTCTATCTCAAAAAAATCTAACAGTTCAACGAAAGTCCTTAGGAGTGGTCTAGACATTGACATGCTACATCACAATTTAAAATCCAATGGTAAAAAGAGAAGTTTAGAATTATTTGATAATCACAAGTCAAAAGAACAAAGTTGAGAACAATTTTTAAGAAAAACAGAAAGTTGGGCCAGGTGATGGTGGTGCCTTAATCCCAGCACTCAGGAGGCAGAAAAAGGCAGATCTCTGCATTCAAGGCCAGCCTGGGCTACAGAGTGAGTTCCAGGGCAGTCAGAGCTACACAAAGATGGAGTCTCAAAAAAAGAAAGAAAGAAAGAAAGAAAGAGAGAGAGAGAGGAGGAGGAGGAGAAGGAAGAAAAAGAAGGAGGAGAGAGAGAGAGAGAGAAAGAAAGAAAAAGAAAGAAAGAAAGAAAGAAAGAAAGAAAGAAAGAAAGAAAGAAAGAAAGGAAGAAAAGAAACCAGAAATCTGGTGTGGTGGTGTACACTGTAATTTAGGGATATGAAGCTTGGCTAAAGTTCTATTTTCTCTACCACAGAGCTGTAGAACTGGCACTGTGAAGCTAACATAAATGCAGACTTACTCATCTGTCACCCCTCTAGCACTCCAGATTCTTCTATTCATCTTTCTGCCTTTTCTTTTTCTGTTTTTTCAAGACAGGGTCTCTCTGTAGCTTTGGAGCCTGTCCTGGAACTCACTCTGTAGACCAGCCTGGCCTCGAACTCACAGAGATCCACCTGCCTCTGCCTCCTGAGTGCTGGGATTAAAAGTGTGTGTCACCACCGCCCAGCTCATCTTTCTGCCTTTACAGACCCTAGCCTTATACTTGCAAACAAGATCCTCATTCATTAATTTAAAAGGTAGTTTGAAATTTGAGTAGAAATGATGATTATGGTCCTCCCAGATTTAAATTAAATTCTGACTGAAGTGATGAAGACAAAAGCATGTGCTCATGGGATCAAGGACATTCCAGTCTGTCAAGAATGCCTCAGAGGCTGGCCTGCAGTTTCATGGTACAGCACTGGCCTAACATGCACTAGGTTCCTGGATTCAACATCTACAATTAAGTAATGAGGAGCTTCAAAGTGGGCTTGGTGCCACGTCTGTAACTTTAGCTAATGCAGGAAAATCTTGAGTTCAGGGTCAGCCTAGACTATATAGCAAGACAAGGGAAATAGGAAGGAAGGAAGGAGGAAGGGAGGGAGGAAGGAAGAAAGGAAGGAAAGAAGGAAGAGGGAGGAGCTAGCTTGTTCCAGGTACAAGGTTTGAGGTACAGGACAGTAGATCTCTGTGATTTGGAGGCTAGCCTGATTTACAGAGTTAGTTCCAGGACAACTAGGACTACACAAGAGAGACAAAGGATCACAAGCCAGACGTAGTCTATAAGTTCAAAAATATATGTATTGGGTGTGATGTGTCACCCCTGTGATCCCAGCACTCAAAAGCTGAGACTGTCTCCATCTCTACGTAAAGAGGTTACAACTATGCACCACCATACTCAGCTAAGACAACTTACTGTGGGATATCTGTACACTGTGTAAAGATGGTGTAATAAAAAGCTGAACAGTCCATAGGGAGGGAAGAGAGTATAGGTGGGACTTCCAGGCAGAGAGAATTCTGGGAAGAAGGTAGAACCGCCATCCAGAAGCAGAGGAGGCAGGACAGGCAGTATGGAGACGAGGTAGAGTCACATGGAAGATTGGTAGATTTAAAAACATGGGTTAATTTAAAATATAAACACTTAAGGCCAAGTTTTCATAATTAAAAATAAGTCTCCCTGTCCTTATTTGTGGGCTGGTAGTCCTGAGGAGAAAGTGCTGTTCCATATGGTGTCCGAACACAGGGTCACAGAAAGCTAATAAAAGTTCTGGACAAGGAGCCCGATGTGGCTTCTAGTCCCACAGTCTCTCAGGTGAGCCAATGCTTGCGGCACACAGAGCAGCTCCTGACCGCTGCCTGCAGGCTTGAGCCAGCTGCCAGTGCTATGTGCTAAGTGGAGCCATGTGGCAGACTGGTCCTTTAAGGCTTGGGTTCACATAGTCAGAGAACACTGACTATGCACAGAAAGCCAGGCCCAGACACAGAAAACCTCTAAAAAGCTACAATATATTTTAAAAAGGTACTCAGATGCTAAAGAAAGAAAATGGGTATAGACAGTCATAAGAAAAAAAATCCACCAAAATAGTTTAAAAATAATAAAGTAGTAGGGCAGTGGTGGCACACACCTTTAATCCCAGCACTCGGGAGGCAGAGGCAGATGGATCTCTGTAAGTTCGAGGCCAGCCT